AAGTTGCTCAGACACCTAAGTACATATTACCTCTAGCTATGGAAAAGTCCATCTACAATCTAATCATGCCCTCCACACACACTGACATAAAGCTTATGTAATAGCTAATGAGCTGATGGGCTAATATCCAACCATAGCTTGAGGGGCTGGCTACCATCCAAGGTAAATCAAGATACCCAAGGAGGTAACAACACAAAATATCTTGGCAAAATCAAATTCAAGGGCAGTTGTTGTCCAGAACTACTTGTGCAACTGGTATCTGTGTAAATATTAGCTGGACAAACTCAGTCTGTGGCTATTCTGACTAAGTTATCTCATCACGACTGCAACATGAGAGGCAACATGGCACTACTTTCCATGTCGTGTGAAAAGCATAGACCCATTCAAACTACTGCTGTCCTCCCTGACACACCCACCCCACCATGCCACATGTATGCTACAAGTGTACCTTCTATCACTTTTGTTCTATCTTTTATAATTTAAGGCCACTTTACCCAAATGGCATTCCATGTATACTTAATGTGTGTATGTGGGAGGGGATGGGGAGAGAAAAAAGATGCATTTTTAAATATGTTTGAGAAATACTGGATAAAGCAATGATAAATAGGATTCTTCACAGCAAGACTTCTCAGTGCCTTTAATATGCTTAATGTGATTGGGAATCTTTAAGAGGTAATGTTGTATTTATGAATATAAATGACCACAGTGTATTTTTAAAAATAAACAAAATACCATTAATTAGAAGAAACTGTTTTGCCTCTTTCCCGACCCGCACCCTCTATGAAAACTCACCAAGTTTATGTGGCATCTCGACCTTAATTTGGTATTCACTTCATTGTGCTTCCTACAGATATCCAGCTACTCAGAGGGTGGAAGACTCAGTGCATTTGTGATAGGTGACTGTCTGCAGACAGGGCTGGGGCTCTCTGAATGGAAATTAAAAATGATAGAATGAAAGGAGGAGAGGAAGAAAAGTGAAGCTCTAATGATGGCAGGGGGTGCCCAGGATAGTTTGGGGTGGGGAGTTGAATAAAAGAAATGCGGAAAGAGAGGTCTTGGGGAAGCTTTGAGATGTGAGACAATTTTAGAAAGAGAAGAATGAGGAAAAAAAAATTTAAGAAACGATGTTGTGAATTAAGAACTGGATATCCTTTAATATTCTTTGATATAGGCAAGAAAAGGAGAGGTACTGACCATGCCTGGTTACTACACTGTGTTTCTTTGGATGCCCACCATGTTGACACTGGGCCCCAAGCCCTGGGATTTATTTGGATGACAACAGAACATCCCACCCCGTATTCCACAAAATATCTTTACAGAATTGCTGAGTAACACTGCTCTTCAACTTAAACCACCAGGAAATAGAGGTAGGGAACTGAACAAAATATTTGTTGCTTTTGTCCCAAAGGCCTTTTATGTTTTAGAGAACAAAGATTAGAAACAATGGCGTATTTTTAAAAAACATTGTAAGTATTGAAACAAAACTAAGAATGAATTTTTGAACACAAGACAAGGTGACATTTTAGAAACTGATCTCATTAAAGAAAATATCAGAACAATACTTTCTTACATAATTTAAATTGTTGCTTTGATTAAAACATAAATTTGTTAGTCAAGTAAAACCTTTAATAACTACACTTGGAATTTATATTAAGCATAAACAATCCGTTTGGCTAACAGTGAATATTAGTTGTATTAACACATCATACTACCTTGTCAAATTGATATAATTAAATAAATCAGTATGTGTGAAGCCTCTAGAATAGGACCTATCCTGTAGTTTGGGCTCTACACACTTAGTTATCATTTTTATTACCAATAAGCATCACTTAAAAACACATTTTTTTGCAATTTTTGCAACACCTCTGAGGTTGGGATGGTGTGCCAGAGATAGACAGCATTATTTTTCCTTTCTTAGTGGTACATAACATAAAAGTGTTGCCAACAGTTGTCTTTGATTCGGTAAAATATTATTATTTGCTTCCTTTTCTCCATTATTTTTAGATGTTTTACTGTATTTTTCTATTGTACAAGTGATTACCTTTCTTTTTACATACTGATAGTCAAAATACACCTCATATAAGAAAACAAAATCCCACTCAGTCTCTCTCCACCACCCTTTAGAGACCTTTCAGGGTGAAAGGTATTTATGGATAAGCAAGGTTTCAGGTGATATACTTATTATACTTTGGGAATGTTTGGTAAAGGATTTGAAATGAACAGCAAATTAATCAGAAGAGAGACTTCAAGGCAAGTAAGAGAAGGCTTGGTGTTGAGTAATGACCCTTGTAAAATGCATAGACATTTTCTTCGCCAACATTCATGTAATTAATTTGCTGGGTTTACCAATAATCTCCATTACCTAGAACATCTGTAGTAGAAACTTTGAGGATGTGTACCTGTATTAGTTAGGGGTCTTTGGTTATAAGCAGCAGAAACAAACTGTCGCCAACTTAAGCAAAAAGGAAGATTTTTGGAAGGATATGAAACAGCAAAAGAATAGACCCAGAGAACCAAATTCAGAAATGGCAGGAGAATCAAGCTTCGCACTGGAGCAACCTTATAGATCTTTGTGGTGTCAAGAACACCTGATGGTCTTTCCTGGGAGCTATGACTGGACAAAATGGGTCTCCTCTTTTTTGATCAGTTGGTCAAGATTGAAAGTGTGAGGAAGGAGCCCATGAATGGCATGGGTCATGTGCCTGCTCCTTAGTTGAGGGAGAGCAGGGTGCCTTAAATACGTCTTACTAAGACAGCTCTAATGGGGAGAGATGAAGCTTCAAAAGGAACCAGGTACTAATCAAGGGAATATAGAATAGATGCTAGCTTGCCAAAACCCAACAAATATCTACTACCAGTGTGAACAACCACAACCAGCAGTTGGCCGGCCTAGCACGCTAAACTCCACAATCAGTAAGAAAATACATTGCAAGCTGGAAAGAACCATAGGCACACCTTAGAGTCTTATATTCCAGCAGACATCAAAGCATTGTAAGTAAAGGAAGACCTGAGGACAGCAGGGGTGGGGCAAATACCATCCAGCCCAACCTACTGCCAGCCATCCACACGCACATGGAACACTGCACTGGGGAAGCTGCAGGCCACAGGGAAAGGCACTTCCCAAGGGCAGACCCACATTCCTCCTTTGCCCTTAAAGTGCTTACCCAGCTATGTACACTGCATGACCATACAGGTCAATCTCATTAGCTCATGTTCAAAATACTCAAATTTGTGTTGAACAAGATTAAGTATAGCTAGTGGCTTGACTTACACATTAGATGATTCATCATGTGCATGTAAACAATCTTAGCTGTTCCCAAAGTTGCATGAGTCAACTTGTTCCAATTAACTTGGGTAAATGCTAGTTGGACTTGTTCCTGTCACCTGGCTTTTGGTGTTTTATTCTGCTTCCAGGAGCACTTTCTCCTTCCTGACTCACCTTCACCTCCCTGCCTTTGTTAATCCTGATTACACAAACAGATGCCTGCTCAGAGGGCACCTATTCCTCCAATGGAGAAAAACACACCAAAGGAGAGTGGCTGAGGTTGTCACCTGTTTCTTGGCAGGCACAAGGTGTTAATTTTTGCGAAGGCAGCTGTGGCATGAAGCCTACCCCTAAGGCTCGGCAGGGAGAGAGGGGCAACAAAGCCTTCACTGGGGAGCGAGTCTTCAAAAGTCCCTGGGTAGGTTGTCACCTGTTTCTTGGCAGGCACAAGGTGTTAATTTTTGCAAAGGCAGCTGTGGCATGAAGCCTACCCCTAAGGCTCCGCAGGGAGAGAGGGGCAACAAAGCCTACACTGGGGAGCGAGTCTTCAAAAGTCCCTGGGTGGAGTCTTGTTTCTATCTGCCACATTTTTAAAGGTCTGCTTTAGTACTAGGGCATGTATCGAGAGCTACCTTCTCACTCTGGCTTAAATATAATATTAAAGATGCAGGGAGAAATACTAATAATTTAAAGGAAAGTTGCCAAATCAATATTTTTGTGTAAAACTGCTATAGATGACTATGAAACCATAGTTATTTCTTGTTCAACATAGATAGCATTTCTACATAGGGTCAGACAGTATTACTTGAAGTTTTTGCTTACTTATGCATGAATGCATAATATATACACGGTTCTGTTAGTGGCTGGTCCTGGACAGAGGTAGGTCTGACAGTTGCAAGAAGTTTGTACAAGCTTAGTTCTGAGTCATTTGCCTTGTCCCAACTTGCACTCTGCAAACTGACTTGCTTCCCATTCTTCTGGCTCCTGAGCTCTGGCTTTTCCATTTGTGACCTTGCCTCACTCCTTAGATCTCATACCTGGCACCAAATTTCTAATTTCAGCATTTTACTGCCTTTCTTGTTGACAATTTTGATTTTCCTTCTGGCCTTATTTCCTTCATGCATCAGCTCAGTCGTCAACACCTTCAGCATCTTGACTCTTTGACCTGAGGATGCCTGCAGTGTCTGCCTCAAGCCTGTGAGCAGAACCCAGAATTTAATGAAAAAACAGAAACAGAATGAGGAACTTATGGTCCATTTGAGGAAACAGGGCCTGCATATATATTGGACAGCAAGATTTTGATGCACACAATTAATGTTCAGAGATGCAGGACTCACAAAGCCCATCTTTTGGAAATAATTGTCAGCTGGGGGTGAAAAATAAGATTTATGTCCCATGTCAATTCCAATCAGCTGGTAGTACTAACTGTAGAAAAGGATTCTATAGCTTCAACAATATTGAGCAGGAAAGAGTATCTCGATCAGTGAGGTTGGCCTTGAACAAGGCAACATGCATTTGCTTTCCCTACTGTAATAAACGACCCATCATTTAGAAATTTTTAAGTAGAAGATATTTTTCTTTCCTTTTTTTAAATTGAAGTATTAGTAATATACAGTTTTAAAAACATGGAACGTTTCACAAATTTGTGTCTTCCTTGTGCAGGGCCCATCCTAATTTTCTCTGTATCGTTCCAATTTTAGTATATATGCTGCCAAAATGAGCATGGTAGAAGAGTTTGTAAAAAATGAAATTAGTGTCTTGAGGTGATTCACTTGGCTCTATACAGAATAGATTAGAGGAAGATGGGGTGTTTTCAGAGAAACAAGTTAAACAGCTCTTGTAGTCTAGTCAAGAAATGACAAAATGGCAAAACATAGCTCCCAAAAGGGGGCAAAAAATAATGACATAAACTGGTGGAGCATTGTTTTCTGGAAGGGAGCAGAGCTGAGCCAGAGTCACTGGGGACTGGCTGGATGTGATCAGAAAAGTCGCAGTCAGAACCAACATCTGTTCCCCGCCTCCAAATTCTAATAGACATCTGTGTTGTGGGCAATGAAAACTGTCCAATGCCATTAGCCAGTGGAGAGAGTTTGCCTATTTCCTTTCTTGTCAAACAGTCAGCAGGTGGAAGATGATCACTTTAGACCTCTGGATGGGGCTGGCAACACCAGGGACTGATGAGATTCTGTATTTGGATGGCAATAAGTGTCAAAATAGAAAGGAATGAATAAAAAATATTTTAAGAAAATAGAATTAAAACAAAAAAAAATGTATAGGACTTTGTGAGTGATTATAAAGAAGTGGAAAAGTAGAAATGACTATAGTTTCAGCTCTGAGACAATGCAGGGGTCCTTATTGATACAGAAAGTAAGCTAGGCTGCTTCCTTGGGCAGAACACTGCCAGTCCTGGCAGAGACCATTAAGTTTTCCTCAATACTGGTCTTCTCTTCTCCTATAGAACCAGGGTTGATTTTTAGCCAGGTATATTACAGCTAATATAAAAACTACATTTATAAGCCTCCTTTGCAACTACAGTCTGCCCAAGTCTGTAAGTTCTTGCCAAGAGTATATAAATAGAAATGACATGTACAAATTCAAGGTTGTACTATTAAAGAGAAGGTATGTGTCTTCCTCTTCCCTTTTTGCTCCTTCCTGCTGCCTAGACAGAATCTGAGGGGATGTGATGAGTATATTGA